GGGAGGTCCGAGGAGGGGAGGGTGGTACCCAGGTGAAACGCCATGGGAAAGGCACTGGGTGGTCCTGGGGCCCGTGAGCCCCTTCCCCCCTTCCACTGCACCCAGACTGCAGCCCCAACCCCATGCAGCTGCCCTAGGTAGGGGATTGAATCGGGGGTCCTGTGTCAGGTGGGGTGTCAGCAGTGGAGTCAGGGGCGATGTTGTGGGTGAGCCTGGCGGTGGCTGTCCTCAGCAGGGACCCCAGAGCTGCTGACAGTGGGTACTTCACTCCACTCTCCTGCCTGCACACATTTCAGAAGAGCCTTGGGGGATGGGTGCAGAGTGGATAGACAACCCCCAGAAAATGGGGTGAGGGGCCGAGTCACTCACTTGGCAAAGTTGCATCCAGCCCTTCCTCAGGGCGAGTGGCCATACCCAGACGAGGCTTCTGAGGCACCTCAGGTCGTGACAGGGTGGCACTCAGCCTGGCAGCTGCTGTGGCTGAAGGCAGACCACCTGGTGGGTCGCGTCCCCTCCCTGTCCCAGGGCATTGCCGCGGCTCCCTCCAGCCGTAAGCCAGGCTTTACTGGCACAACGCCACATCCACGTGCTGTGGGACACGGTGGTGGCTGCACGTGTGCGTAGCAGAGACTGTGGAGTTGAGAAGGCCAGCGTCTTTACAACCCACCCCTGCAGGAAGCTGGTTGACCCTGGGTTGGGTCATGTGAAGGAGAAAACTCTTCCCTAAAATGTTAGGAACAGAAACTTCCCGGAGTTTGTCTTTGGCGATGCTGGGAACGCCTGTTTCGCTTGAACTCCACACAGCACGTGTGCACGGTGTGCTTACTGAGCTGGTCTGCAGGGAGGGTCAGGGCCTGGGTTTAAGAGTAACAGCTCCTACTGAGAGGATTTGGAGAACATTCCAGATTAGGTTTGGGGTCTAGACGTTCATCCTGCAGACCCTGTGCTGGGAGGTGGACCCACAGCCTCCTCTGCTGGGACTGGGGCACCTTTAGGGTGCAGGGCTTCCTGGGCACAGTCCTCTGCCTTGTTGACTAAGAGTGGTGGCCTGACGTGCGTGGGTGGAAAGCCAGGTGAAGAAACTCGAGTGTCTTGGTTCAGCAGGGGTGATGGCAGGAGTGGTGGCAGCCACACCTCACTCAGAGGTTTTGGAGCCTGGTAGAGGCCTATGAGCAGCTCCTGGGTGAGAGGCTCGGCCCACAGCCCCCTGTGTGTGGGGTGCCCTGGAACCCCAGGTGGGGAAGGTATTTACTGGTCACAAGTCAGTGGGTCCAGGAGGAACGGGGCTGATTAAGGTCAGCTGTGCTTGTAAACTGTCACCTGAACCACAGCAAAAGCCTCTAGGAGTGCTTTATCTTGAAGCCCTCTGGGGAATAGAAACTGATCACAAATTCAGCTTCCTCTGCCTCATTCAGGGACTTCGTGTGACTTCACCTCTGACACAAGCACATGTTAAATGACTGTTTGTTCTTAGAACAGTGGCTTCCTCTCCATGATGGCAGATTGTCAGGGTCAGGCAGGTCTGCCCTGGCTCTGCTCTCGTCCTCCTCGTGCGGGGGTGCCGAGAGGCTTTCTGGGGGGCTGCAGACCCTGCCACTCCTCGCTTGGAGCCCCTCCAGCCCCTCCTGCCGCAGCTTCCCCAGGTCTTCTGGGCAGGCTGTCGCCCAGCTCTGCCGGGCAGGTGTGCCCTCCTTCCAGTGTCCTCTCCCCGGAGCCCATGGGAAGTTTCCCCATCTTTCAGTGTCACTCCTTCCTGCAGGGCTCCTCACCTGGCAGCCTTCATGAGCAAAGAGGGGGCAATGGCGAATGGTGGATGCTTCTGGAATAAAGCTGACTGACAAACTGCAAGTTCTTCTAACAAAGGCCACTCCAATCAGAAGCTGTGCGTGTGAAGCCAGTCTATGATGCACTGCTTTTTGAAAGAGGGCGAGGGGTTGCGATTGGTCTTCTGCTGGTGGTTCTGAAATTTTTTCCAACTCCCCATTGTTGAATGGCCACTTTGTCTCCATAAATTCCCAAAAGACCCCTGTTTAGAGGGGAGCCCCTGGCAGGCGGAGTAAGCTGCAAGTTGATTGCCACGGGGCATCTCTGCAGCTGCCACGCTGGGGCTACACACTAGTGGGAGTCCTTCCGTTGGCCAGAGCACTGACTGGTGGGAAGAGAAGTTGTTTTATTTAACCAGTAACAAAAGACCTTTCTTTCTCAGACACTCCCATCTTTATTGGCAAAATAGCTCCTGGTGGGAGTTGGGGTCCGGGACTATTAGGTAGGAGCAGGAGCAGCCCCCGGGAACCTGCCCACACCCAGACAGCTTCAGCAACTCCCACCCCACGCCGCTTCGCCTCTGCCCCCCACTTAAACAGCAGCTGCATTTTTCTTTGTTATAATGAGACTCCTGGTATTTCTTGTAAAAGAAAGTTTCTATACCACATACTTTGGAATTTAAGCTGTGAAAATTCAGATGTGGACAGTTCACATGTTTAAAGACTGTTTTGAAGGACAATGTAGCTTCTTTAGACCTGAACTTTTACAGCTTGGAAGTCCTGCAGCAGCCCGGGACATCCTCAGACTCCTTTCTTGGTCACTGTTATGGCCTTTCTCCTCCAGGAATTAGTGAATGTGTATGTTTACATACATGAACACCTGAATCAAATCCATCACTACTGGGAAACATGGAGAAGTTGTTATAAACATTGGCTTTTTCCTTTATTTCTGAAAGTTAGGGTGCACTTATTATACATTTTTGCCAAATACTCAATGGCGATTAGAATTTTATTTAAAATCCTTAAGACATGAAAAATTTCCAAGTAGGCATTTACTTAAAAAGTCATGGCCGAAGTGGAATTAAGTAAGTAAACATGAAATATAGCCCTTGAGGGATGCTTTGCGTACTGAAAGTCCAGTCAGGGAATGCTCACAGGCTGGCATTATGGTGTTACCGTTTACTCTGCCTTACATGTAATTTAAAATTAAAAGATTGTTGGATCACACAGAATGTGTCATTCTGAGGTGGCCTGATTAATGTACCGTCTTTATTTTTGAATTTTGTGGATCAATTTCTCTATTTTGGAAGGTTCTTAATTTTATTTGAAGGCATAAATGGTTGCTCTTGTAGTGAACTTACTACACCTCATAGAAAGCTCTTTGTTGTTGGCTTCAGATCAGACTTGAAATATTTATCTGTATTTGAAATCAATGTTTCGATATGAAGAATGAGTCGAGCTGCTTTTGTGGGTGGCTCCACTCTCAAGGCAGCCTGTGGGCTCCTGTGACCCGTCGGGATCCACCTCCTGCCCTGCAGCCTCGAGATTCAGGTTCCACCGTAGACTTTGGCCACATCGTCACTGCGCTTCAGGGTACTTGCCCTGGGCTGGAGGCTGCTCCAACCCTTTGTGTACTGTCACTCAGTCCTGGCAAGTTCCCCACGTTGCAGCAGAAGGTTGTCTTCTTGGAGTTCCCGGGAAGCCAGGGTGGCTAGCTGGGCTGTGAGCTGGCCAGAGGCCCCAGGGTTCGTGTTCTTAATCACCAGGCTCGCTGCGCCCTTCCCAGAAGTGACAGCATTCTCGAGTGAAACAGTGGGGAAGAGTTGCCCAACCTTTGTGTTCCTGTTCACAGTATCACAACTGCAAATTACAGCACCATCTTTTTAGTGCCCAGTGAACTGAAAAACTACTGCTGTACCCAGAAGTGGTGCATTAGAGGCAGCTGGGACCTCAGGGCTGCCTGTCTCATAACTACAAGGCTGGTGCATGGAAATGCCAGTTTGGTTCTTAACCTCACAGAGTGACATGCACTTCTCACGTCTGTGGTATGCTTTGTCATAGAGGTGAAAGGGCCCATTACGTCATGGGAAAAAAAGGATGACATTTATTTTATGGAGTACCTTCTCAAGAGCTAAGGAATACTGCAGAGGTTGCAGCACTTGAGTGAGCACAGAAATCAGAAAAGATACCTTGGGAATGATAGGAAAGACACTTTCCAGTTATCCATAAGGGGCTGGGGCTGTAGCGCAGTGGTAGAGTTCCTGGCTACCACGTGTGAGGCACTGGGTTCAGTCCTCAGCACCACATAAAAAATAAATAAATAAAGTAAAGGTATTGTGTCCATCTATAACTTAAACAAACAAACAAACAAACAAAAAATCACCCATATTACCTGTCCCATGCTTCAGGCTCCAGTTCCATCTGAATGCCAGGCTGACCCTGCAGACTCTTGTGGCAGGCCACCCAGAATGGCTTTCGTCACCAACACCAGTTCATAAAGACAAGTAGGTACCCCCCTCTGCAAATGCACAAGGAGAAAAGAAAAACAAAAAACAAACTGGAGACAAGTGAAAACGGAAATCCAGCGAACTGACATTGATAGGTTTCTAAGTTCTAAGGAGAAAGTTTATAGGTATTAAATAACACATTAAAAATGAGAGCTTGCAGCATTAAAAGAATAAAACCATGGCATTTGCAGGTAAATGGATGGCGTTAGAGAAGATAATGCTAAGTGAAGTTAGCCAATCCCCAAAAAACAAATGCCAAATGTTTTCTCTGATAGAAGGAGGCTGACTCATAGTGGGTTAGGGAGGGGGAACATGGGAGGAAGAGATGAATTCTAGATAGGACAGAGGGGTGGGAGGGGAAGGGAAGGGGCAGGGGATTAGTAAGGGTGGTGGAATGTGTAGACATCGTTATCCAGAGTACACGTATGAAGACACAAATTGGGTGTCAACCTACTTTATATATAACCAGAGATATGAAGAATCGTGGTATATATGTGTAATAAGGATTGTAATGTTAAAAAAAAAACAAGTACATGTATAAAGTCATGAATTGGCGTGAACATACTTTATACAAAGATATGAAAAATTGTGCTCTATATTGTAATAAGAATTGTAATGCATTCTGCTGCCGTGTATTTAAAAAAGTAAGATTAATTTAAACAAAGAAGAAGAAAACAAAAACGAGAGCTTGACGTAGGCCAAGCTGCTTGCTGTCGAAAAGATCAAGTTCATGAAACCCAGGAAGGTGGTGTTGGTCCTGGCCGGACGCTTCTCTGGACGCAAAGCTGTCATTGTGAAGAACATTGATGATGGCACATCAGACTATCCCTGCAGCCATGCTCTGGTGGCTGGAATCGACCGCTATCCCCACAAAGTGACAGCTGCCCTGGGCAAGAAGGAAATTGCCAAAAGGTCAAAGGTGAAGTCTTTTGTGAAGGTTTATAACTGCAGTCACCTCCTTCCCACAGGTGCTCTGTGGGTATCCCCTGGACAAAACTGTCATCAACAGGATGTCTTTAGAGAGCCTGCTCTTAGACGTAAGGCCAGTAGGGAGACCCAGGTGAAGTTTGACAAGGGGTACAAGATGGGCAAGAACAAATGGTTCTTCCAGAGCTTCAGTTTCAGATTTTTGTTGTTGTTGTTGTTGTTCCCTATCATTAAAAACGAAATTTTAAAAGAAAAAAAAAGTGAGAGCTTGCAAGTAAACAATCTACCTTTTACACTTTAAGGAACTAGAAAAAGCAGAACAAGTTAAGCATGAAGTTAGCAGACAAAATTGACAGACCTTTAGTTGGACCAAGAAAAAAAAGAAGACTCAAGTAAGTGTTAAGAGGAGACTTTATAGCTGATACACACCAAAGTACTGAGAATCGTAAACTCCTATAATTGAACACTAACAGATTGGCTAACCTAAAGAAATGTATAATTCCTAGCAACACACCGTCCCAAGACTAAATCATGAAGACAGAAAATCTGAACTGACTGACTGATGAAAGAGATTGAATCAATAATTAAAAACTTCCCAATAGATGCTGAGAGCCACGGCGGAGTCTGTATGGCCCCTGGCATTTTGCCAACAGTATTGATTGACAGGCGAGGCATTACTATCCGCCTCTGCCGCAACTTTTGAGTTCTCGCACTATTTTGGAGTTCTCGTGGGGATTTCCGGGGATTCCCCGAGAGTTCCCATTGGTTGGGGAAGTGCAGGAGGAGGGATTTCCGGGAGAGATATTTCCGGCTGGGGGTTCCTGGACAAGCCTCGGCGTTCAGGACGATTCCCTGGGAGCTGTGTGAAGTGTTTTCCTACAGTTTAAAAATAAAGTTTGTTCCTGCTTCAGTGGCTAGTGATTTGTGCCCAGCCAGACTGCGGCAAATAGAGAAGAGCCCAGGCCCCGATGGCTTTGCTGGTAAATTCTAACAAATGTTCAAAGAAGAATTAACATTAATCTTTCAAATGTTTCCAAGCATTGAAGAGGAGGGAAACTTCCAAACTCATTTTAGGAGGCCCACATTATCCTGATGCCCAAAACAGACAAATAAACCACAACATTACAGACTGATATTCCTGATGAACATTGATGCAAAAATTCTCAATAAAATACAGCAAAATGCCCAGCATAATAAGAACATCACTTGCCACAATCAAGTGGGTCGGACCTCTGAGGTGCAGGGATGGCTCAGCATATGTATATCAGTAAGGAGATGCATCACTTCAACAGGGTGAGGGGACTGAGACCAGATGTCATCTCAGTAGATGCAGAAAAAGCGTTTGAGAAAATTCAACATTGTTTCATGATAAGAACATTTAACATCATTGTGGCACGTGCCTGAAGTCTCAGCCACCCGGAAGGCTGAGGTTGGAGAATTGCTTCAGCCCCAAAGTTCAAGGCCAACCGGGACAAAGTAGTGAGACACCCTCTCAAATAGAACAAAAACAAACAAAAAAACCTCTCCACCAACTAGATATAGGAGGAACAAGTACACCACAGGGTACAACAGGCCAACACACAGCACCCAACACATGTGGGGTGAAGAGCTGACGGCTCCTCCTCAGATCAGCAACAAGATGGGTGCCCACTTGCACTGTTTCTGTTCAGCATGATCCTAGAAGTCCTAGCCAGAGCAATTGGAGAAGAAAAAACAAAGGTATCCAGATTTGAAAGGAATAAGTAAATTGCCTTCTTTTACAAATGACTTGAGTTTATATACATAGAACAACTCTAAATGCTCCAACAAAGCACCATTTAGACCTAATAACAAGTATAGCAAAGTTCCAGTATACAAAATCGTCAAACAAGAATCATTTGCACTTTACTACATGAATACAAGCTATCTGAAAAAGAAATGGAGGGCAAAATCCCATGTATAAGTAGTACCAGAACCAAATTCCGAGGGATAAATTTAACCAAACATGAAACATTGGTGGAAGAAATTGAAAAAGACATAAGTAAGTGGAAAGATGTCCCGTGTCCGTGGGTTAGAAGACTAAATGTTGCTAAAATCCCTGTACTTCTGAAGTGACCTACAGATTCAATGACCAACACAAACTCCTGAAATTCATGTTGAAACTAAAAGACACAGAATTGTAAGGAAAATTAAAAAGGGAGACACAGAAACAAGATGCAGAGGCAGGAGAGAAAGATGGCAGAATGGCAGCGAGGCCAAGCTGCCAACCTTTATTATATCCATAGGTTACTCTAGGTCATTGGCATCATTAGTACACATTGTTCATTGTGTTACTAGCAGGTTACAGACTTAGCAACATTATGCAGCTTGTTCCTGTTACATACTAAGTTGCAATATGCGTTGTGTAGCTCTCAAGAAAGTGGATTGTATAAAGTTACTGTTATGTGGGCAGATTTAGGTTCAGTGTAACTCTGTGGTTTTCTAACAAGAGAGTTCCTATGTTCCCAGGAGCTGTGTGCCTGAGATGAAGGTCAAAGCTGATAAGACTGTAACACAGAGCTTCCTCGTGAAGGACACCCTACAGCAGCCAGGCATCTCGCGTCTTTGCACAGAAGTTTCCTAGCAGCCAGGCATTCTGTGCCTTTGCACAGAAACTTCCTACCTGGAAGAGCCACAAGCATGCCACAATCATGAAATATATCAGAGATCTCAAGACAAGACAAAGAACCCCTACAGCTCCCCTTTCTTGTTTTTGAAGGTCTTTCGAATGAATAATATTTGTTTTTCTTTTTAATGCTGGTGGGGGCAAAAAAATAGGGTAGGCACTGACAACAGCAAACACAACGTAACAATCCCAGTATTAATAAATATCCATCTATGAATAATTGTTTGATCCAGATGAAATTGGGTAACCTCTAAGTTAGCCAATCCAACAAGTCTAACCCCCCTCCCCCGCCAATCATCTTGTTGGATCCTTTTAATGATATCTTTGAGATAGAATTACTATTGTCGTTTAAATTGAAGCAACACGTATTATTAAGCTCCTGACACCTTTATGATGTAATAATAACAGATAATCAATTGCAGCGCAGTTGTCAAGAATGACTTGATGATGTTGTTTTGTTCTTTATTAAGCATACTAATTGTCACAGCATTATGATTAAAAAAAATATTTTTTACCATAGCACAGGCCAATTTCATAGTTGTTTTGTAAGCCTCGACAGTTGGTCCAAGGATGCCCACTAAGGAAAGTGTAAAAACTTCAGATTTTGTCTTAGAAGATTCACTGAGTCATCACATTTTTCGTCAATGAGAATAGACATTTCATGGATATGCTGTGCAGGATGGTGGCCTGTTACATCCTATGGAGATGGTAGGAACACAGTCAGTCTGCTAAGACAATGATGGGTACCATGAGACATATTAGCAGGTATTTAATTAAAATTCTATGTTCCCCAAGGGGAAAAAAAAAAAAAACATCCTAGTGGATACAAATCTCAGACACGTTAACAATTTCAGCCAGGTGAACCCAGATATTGTAATGAGTTTTAGAAGTTAAGGAGTCTGACTATACTGAATTTCTTGCAGCTAGGGTACAATAGCAGAATAACATTATCATAAGGATCAAAACATTTACAGAGTTTTGTGTAAGTTTAGCAAACGAAGCAGTAACTAATTTTTTTCAGGGTTAATTTTACCCTCCTTTGGGCAAACAGCTGTTGAGCTGAGGCTTTAAATGATTTTATGTCTCCCCAGGTCACTGGAGGTCAAGTATCTTAGGGTCCTCTTGTCGTGTTCCTTCTCTTTCCAGGAGAGTGATCCTCTTTTTGTTTGATGGAGTCCTCCTCATCCAGGGTCAAATTAAACTTGAGGATTGCGTTGTAAAGACCCTGATGTCCATTCATAGTTAATAGGTCTCATGCATCGAGCTGGAATCCAAACAGGACGTTCTGCTAATCTTTTTTCTTTCCTGAAACCTTGTCTAGCCCTAATAGTGGGCGCATTTGGATTGATGTTATTTATTAATGTCAAACCTAATTGATCTAGGACATCTCGTCCCCATAAATTTATAGGAAGATGATCCAATACATATGGCTGTATAGTTCCTTCACATCCTTCAGGATCCTTCCAATCTAATACCATTGCACTTCTATGGGGATTAGTTGCCACTCCTAGGCCTCGAAGCATTTGAGTGGCTTGTTGTAACGGCCAATGTTTTGGCCATTCTTGACGAGATATGATGCTAAGGTCTGCACCTGTATCCAATAGCCCATTAAATTCATGTCCTTGAATATTTAGTTTTAGCATTGGTCGAGAATCTAAATTTAAAGACAGCATAGCCCAATCTACACCTGTGGAGCCTAATCCCCTGAAACCTCTTTCTATACTACTGCTGGAAAATTTATCATGTAGGCTGGGTATTATTAATAACTGTGCTATTCTATCTCCTGGTGAAATTACTGATATACCCTTTGGAGAACTAGCTATAATTTTTATTTCACCTTCATAATCGGGATCAATTACCCCAGGACTTATCATAAGTCCTTTTAGAGTAGAAGAACTGTGTCCTAACAATAAGCCTACTGTTCCTTGGGGAAGAGGTCCTTTTACTCCTGTGGGAATGATTTGAACTCCCATCTCTGGAGTTAGTACTGCTCTGGCGGAGGCGCAGATGTCCAACCCTGCGCTCCCTCTGGTTCGTCTGATGAGAGATCTGATGGATAATGTGTCCTGGGCACTACACTGATGGGGTTGCTGGGTTCCTCCAGTGCCCCGTATATTTGTGGTCGTGGGCCCCGGAGCATTGGGCCCCTTGTCCGTTTTTTGGCAATGGAGCCCGATGCCTTTCTCCACGATATCGTGGGTAAACACCTGGTCCTTGTACGTTTTTTGATAACGGAGTACCCTCTATGGTGGTTTGAGAACGGCATTCATTAGCCTAATGTCTCCCTCTACGGCATTGTGGGCAAATACCTGGTATTCTACTCCTTTGATACCTAGCTTTGTTAAACCCTCCTCCTATGGGGCAATTCCTTTTAAAATGTCCTGTTTGTTCACAATTGTAGCATGTTTTTGACCTGGCATCTAAAGCCTGTTGTACTGCAGCTGCCAAGACTTGCCCTTGTTCATTAATGTCTCTACATAATTTAATATATGTGTTTAAATCTCCATGTTTCCATGGTCTAATGACCTCTCTGCACCAACGATTTGCTTGGTCATAAGCCAGTTGTTTAATTAATGGCATTGCTTGTTCTGTATCCCCCAAAACTCTGGTAGTTGTTTGAATAAGCCTATCTACAAATTCAGCATAAGGTTCATTAGCTCCATGTATTACCTTAGATAATTGACCTTGTAAATCTCCATGTCCTTGTAAAGTCTTCCATGCCCTAACTTCATCTGCAGCAATTTGTGCATATATAGCAGGATCATATTCAATTTATTGCCGTTGACCCTCATAAGGTCCTTTTCCTAACAACATATCTAGATTTCTTTGAGGGTAACTGGCTGCTGCATTTCGCCTAGCTGTCTCCATGCGAAATTCCTCATTGGCAACTTTCCATAACTAATATTGTCCTCCATTTAGCACAGATTTACACATACTAGCCCAATCTGCTGGTGTCATGTCCAAGTTGGTAATGGATTTGACCATGCTTACAGTGAAGGGTGCTTGAGGACCATAGGTTGTTATAGCCTCCTTTAACTGCTTCACTGTTTTGAAATCTAAAGCACGGTGAATTCGCTGCCCTCCTGCCTGCTCAAGTACAGGGCATGCTAATCTTTGAGGTCCTGTCTCAGGATCCCATCTATCAACTACGGGGGTTGAGGGCCACTCAGCTATCTCCATAGGGGGAGCTGTTGGTTGAATTATGCCCTCTGGTGATAGAACAGTGTTAGTAGCAGCCTCCTGTTGTAGCTTTTTCCCTAATAGCTGTTTCTCCTTTAAGCTTTCTTCCTTTAAATTTTCTTCCTCTGACTAGCTCGAGAGACCTTCTCTTTTGCTTGATCTAAAATGTCTTTCTCCATGGTCTGAACCTCTAACAATTTACTTAACACTCTTTCAGTTTGTTTTTTACTAATTTCTAATCTACTATAAAGATAACGCAACCCAATAAGATAACACAAAACAAAACTGAAACAGAATGAAACAAAAACGGAACAACAAATCGTTGTATCAATTTTCCTATTTTATTGACATGTGCATTTGTGGTCTATTTCTATCTCTTCCTCAGGGGCGAACAACTTCAAACCTCGAGCCAACCATTTTTCCCAGTTTGCCTGAGAAAGTTCTAGGGATAGGCAGCTTGAAACAAAAACAGGACAAATCAAAACAAGAACACATTGTTTTTGGAAATGGTCACCCATTCTCTTGCCTTCCCTTAGGGGCGAGCAATTTCACTTACCTCCGAGCTTCAGGCGTTCCCGGCACGGGTCGCTAAATGCCGCAGTCTGGCTGGACACAAACCACGAGCCACTGAAGCAGGAACAAACTTTATTTTTGAACTGCAAGAAAACACTTCACACATGCTCCCGGGGAATCCTCCTGAACGCCACGCGGCTCGTCCAGGAACCAGCCACCGGAAATATCTCCTCCGGAAATCCCTCCTCCTGCACTTCCCCAACCAATGGGAACTCTCCGGGAATCCCCACGAGAACTCCAAAGTAGCATGAGAACTGCAAAGTAGCAGCCGAGGCGGATAGTAATGCTTCGCCTGTCAATCAATACTATTGGCAAAATGCCAGGGGCCATTCTGACTTGGCTGTGGCTCTCAGTAGGGCAGAGCATGGTAGCCACAGGGAGGTTTTGGACGCTTGTTTATTTTGTTTCCTTTGTCCCAGACTGGGGTGGCCTCTTGAGGCCATGCATGAAGCTATACCATAAAAGCATTTATTACCATGACATTAGTATTTGTGTCCAATAACCCTGTAATTGACTGCTCATTTAAACAAAGAGTTAATTTATGTCTGTTTACAGTAACTGATCAACGTGATCCAATAACATTAGAGTTAAACCTTGTATTTCCCCGTTCATTTAAAGATTGTTGAGCTGAAACATAGGGAATTGCCGAATGGAATCTTTTCTGACATTTAGGACACTTTTCTTTCTTTTTTTTTTTTTTAAGAGAGAGAATTTCAATATTTATTTTTCAGTTTTCAGCGGACACAACATCTTTGTTTGTATGTGGTGCTGAGGATCGAACCCGAGCCGCACGCATGCCAGGCGAGTGCGCTACTGCTTGAGCCACATCCCCAGCCCCTAGGACACTTTTCATCAGGGCGTTGTTGAGACTCCTTTTTAACCTTACAACCCTTTATAAGATGACCAGGTTTTTTACAATTATAATTTATCAGGGGTTTTAAGTCAGCGGCAAGCAAGGCAGCTTTATGAGTTTTGCTTTTTATATTTATTTTTAGTTACTGGTGGACGCAATATCTTTATTTTATTTTTTAATGTGGTGCTGAGGATTGAACCCAGTGCATCACGCATGCTAGGCGGGCGCTTTACCTCTGAGCCACAATCCCAGCCCCGCTTTATGAGTTTTAGTTCCTACATTTTGACGTGTTTTTATCATATCTGACAAAGTAGTGTCCATTTTATGATAGATTTTGTTACATCTTGGCAATCTTGATTAGCATTTTCGTATGCCAGCTGTTTGGTTAAAATATTAGTAACCTCCAAGTTATCAACTTGCATCTCTATTGCCTTAGTTAAGTGATTAACAAAATTTATGAAACTTCCCCCTGAAGCTTGTCTAATTGCGCAGATGGTTTAGAGGAATCTCGAGTGTCAGGAATCCGAGGCCAAGTTTTAGACATAATTGTTCTTGGAAGACAGTTGACTTGTTGTTGCATAGTATCCCATTGCCCTACTCCAAATGGATGATCACAGTCAACATTGACATTTCTTTGCACATTTTCTTCAGCCTGGGCACAAGCCAAGTCTGAATATTTTTGAAAGAAAACAGTATTTGGGGCAGGAGAAGTAACCATTTTAACTAATGTTTTTCAATCATTAGGAACTAGGACATATCCCATTCCCAACCCTTCGATCATATTTAGAGTAGAATTACTTTTTATACTGCTTTCCAAAAGCTGCAACTCTCTAAAAACAGTAAAAGGTAACTGCTCAAACTTTGGTTAGGTAAAGAGTTTACAGCTAACGGATGAGGCTCCCCTTTCTCCGCAGCTTGTCCCAAACACTCAATTAAGTTGGATCTGGCTGGGGGCAGGATGGCTGCCACAGCTGGCCACAGAGGCGATGGCAATGAATTAGTAGAAGAGTGCACGGGCTCCGGAACAGGATGGACAGCGTGTTGCTGCTGCAGCTGCTCTGCGTGGTGGAGCCGCTGAGAATGAGTCAAGGGGACTGTACATCTGGGCACAGGAGGAAGAGAGCCGCAGGTTGAGAAAGAGGCCTTACCAATAGCATCACGACAGAGAAACCAAGCTAGTAGCACAGGTCCGGGTGCTCGTGGCTCCTCATGAAGCCTTTCACCCATCTTCTCCCAGTCTTTCAATTTAGTGGTCCACTTTTGGGATGAAAAGGACAGCAAGAGCTTATCTGTCAGCAAGGCAGCAAGATGAGCATTATTTACCATATGTCCAGCCTTGCTAAGTAGGAGAGAAAGCCCGTCCTGATGACGTCATTGAGTGTCAGAGATTACCCATAGCCTACTGATTAGAGATTGATACCGACTGACCGATGAAAGATGCGTGTCAAAGCCTGTTCCAGGCGCATATGCTACTCCCTTCCCACGTTACCCGTCAACGTCTGGAAGAGTCTCCATTAGGGTGGATTTTGTTGTCCCAAACTCTCTGTG